CCGTAAAGATGGTATCAATTTTATTGCCAATATCTCGGGTTTGGGCCTAAAAGGCCGTTAGATTGATAGATCTGCCTTTCCACTACATGTTGAAATCGTTTTTTATTGCTTGTTACAGATTACTTGGCAAGTGGACTCTACATTTCCTAATGCATTCTTTACTGGCAATCTACGGCACACGTTTTGAATGTGTTGAACAACGTCACAATTTTTTGCTTAAACTATAGACTACAATTCTTAACTAGGTTAAACAAATGAACATCGGAAAAAATATGTAATAGTACGTAAATAGTTGAAAAACAAACGAATCGCGGATTCATCTCAATCATATTTTAATTATGAATTTGGGTTTAAGTTATTAAAAGATTATTTTTATTTTTGGTGTATGAATAAATAAATTAATGTTTATAAGCTCTATACAAGTGCTTACATCGTTATCTTCATCATTATAAGCTGTATCATCACAGTTATTTCCTATATTTCTACCATTGCTATTTTTAGAACTTCTTTATTTCTAATCTGAATGTGACTTATTTCTAAAATCACAAAAGTCAACCCCTTTAACGTAGGTATAATAAGAAAGAATCATCAACAGCCCTTTACAGTCCACTGCTGGACTATATGAGCCTCCTCCACTATAGTGGAGGGTTTTGCCATAATCTCCACGCTTGGCAGGCGGGTTGGAGATCGCAGTTTAAAAGATTGATGTTTTTCAGAGAGCGCTGCTGCCCATTCTCTGTTTGATGTGTAGTCCCTAAGTCGCCTCTTACGACACCCGCGGGAAGAGTAGGGGTTGGTGACAAATGTATTCTACTCTGCCGTCACCACACGGCTTAATAAGAAAGAATAATAATACATTACTCTTAAATTTATGTTAAGTGGCGTGCAGTAATAAGTATTTCAGGTCAAAGTATGGGCCCATCACTCTTAGCCGCCCCTCATTTCCATGTCTTGGGTGGTGGCGCTACTGGAATTTTATTAAAATTATTCCATACGATTACGCCTTTTTTAGAGTGCCTGCAGTGTGACGGCAATCAATTTTATTTGATACAGCTTGCGAGAGGATATTGTGGATGGCTCATTTCTTTTTTTGATGAGGTGTCCAAATTATTATTGAGTTATGAAAAGTTAGCTACTGGGGTAATGTAGATAAAATCCTAATTTAAAATATTTATCGCACAATATGATCCTCCGATCCGGGCTGGAAGACGTAGCGTGGGCAGGCCTCCTTCTAGATGGACCGACGATCTGGTAAAAGTCGCGGGAAGAGCCTGGATGCGTTCAGCGCAGGACCGTGCATTGTGGAAAACCTTGGAGGAGGCCTTTGTCCAGCAGTGGACGTCATTTGGCTGAAACGAACGAATATGATTCTTAACGTGAGATTATGGTGGCTAGTTTTGGAGTATTTAAAACATTATATTGAAGTAGATATCATACTAATATCAACACACGATATTGATAGTGCCTTTTGAGAGAAAATAAAAAAAAAGTAAATAAAGCTTTTGAGCTAATACTACAGTCGAATTGACCCCACCAACAAAATCCAGCTCTAAACTTAATCGTTTGGGATGAAGGTAATACAAAATTCTAGTCGTACTCGTATTAAATTTCCAGACCTTCCATTCCGCTCTAGTGCTCATTTAACAAAACACCGAAAACACAAATTAAGCAAAACAGCTCAGATGTTCGAATCGCCACACTAATTCCACGGGCGACCCAAAAAGTTTCCACTCTTGCCTACAAATAGCAGTGTTGCCTTGAAAAATGGCAACCCCGGCCAGCCGATAATGTACGAGGCAGAACAATCCATCAGGGCGCGGGTAACCCCCTCCAACCCCCATTAGGGGTTTTGTAGATACGTTTTTACAATTTTTACGATCGCTTGCATAGTTTCGCACTGAAACATGCTTTTGAAAAATACTTTCTGGAATTTCAGATGGAATGGAATTGCTATTTTCGTAATATATTGCGAATATTTTAAAAATATTCTGCTTTATTAACCTTCGGANAAAATGTGTAGCTTTATATTCAATCAAAATAACCATTTTCAAAACCACTAAGATTATAACGAGTTTACAGTTTCCGAGCCTATAATACTTCTGAGCCAATGCAATGACACCGCTCCAGGGGACTTAATTAAAATTGTTCTTGCAATGCTAGTTCGTAGGCATTTTAAATAAGTTGAGGGCTTTTATGAAACGCTTTGTGGCTTTGCAAGAATCTGAGTGAGGCTATTTTGAGAAATAAATAATGAGTGGCTTAGATGAAGGCAAGGTTTTGTTATTATTGTTTTGGTGAGACAGGGCTATCATAAATATTTGTTAAATAAAGATAATCTACTCGTAGAATGGTAATTGAAAAAAACACTAATAACAAATCACTGTCTTAGGCGTTTAAGAACAATATTTCTACCTGTAACTTGATCCAAACTTTCATCATCATCATCATCAGGTCATTTGATTTCGATTGCAAGAGGACCCTCTAATTTACCAAAGGAACATGGAGGATTTAGCCTACACACCCTACGATCTGGCTCTGATCACTTAAAGTCCTTTATTCGCCTCTTACGACATCCATGAAAAAAGTGTCAGTGGTACTATTCTGTTCTTTCAAAACCACACGGCAACTTCATCCAAGCTTTAAAATTTCAAAATCGTATGAAATAGAGTCATTGTTCACTTAGTTCACTAGAACTTTAGGGTCCTAAATTGCACATAACAAATAACGGCAATATAAAAAAACGCCATTGTTAAAGCAGTTTACAGCTGAATCTAAAACCGTAAAGATGGTATCAATTTTATTGCCAATATCTCGGGTTTGGGCCTAAAAGGCCGTTAGATTGATAGATCTGCCTTTCCACTACATGTTGAAATAGTTTTTTATTGCTTGTTACAGATTACTTGGCAAGTGGACTCTACATTTCCTAATGCATTCTTTAATCTGTACTGGCAATCTACGGCACACGTTTTGAATGTGTTGAACAACGTCACAATGTTTGCTTAAACTATGGACTAAAATTCTTAACTAGGTTAAACAAATGAACATCGGAAAAAATATGTAAATAGTTGAAAAACAAACGAATCGCGGATTCATCTCAATTGTATTTTAATTATGAATTTGGGTCTAAGTTATTAATTGCTTATTTTTATTTTTGGTGTATGAATAAATAAATTAATGTTTATAAGTTCTATACAAGTACTTACATCATTATCTTCATCATTATAAGCTCTGTCATCACAGTTCTTTCCTATATTCCTACCATTGCTATTTTAATAGCCTCTTTCTTTCTAATCTGCAAGTGACTTATTACTAAAGTCACAAAAGTCAACCCCTTTAAGGTATAATAAGTAAGAATAACAATACATTACTCTTAAATTTATGTTAAGTGGCGTGCAGTAATAAGAATTTCAGGTCAAAGTATGGGCCCATCACTCTTAGCCGCCCCTCATTTCCATGTCTTGGGTGGTGGCGCTACTGGAATTTTATTAAAATTATTCCATACGATTACGCGTTTGATAGAGTGCCTGCAGTGTGACGGCAATCAGTTTTATTTGATACAGCTTGCGAGAGGATATTGTGGATGGCTCATTTCGTTTTTTGATGAGGTATCCAAATTATTATTGAGTTATGAAAAGTTAGCTACTGGGGTAATGTAGATAAAATCCTAATTTAAAATATTTATCGCACAATATGATCCTCCGATCCGGGCTGGAAGACGTAGCGTGGGCAGGCCTCCTTCTAGGTGGACCGACGATCTGGTAAAAGTCGCGGGAAGAGCCTGGATGCGTTCAGCGCAGGATCGTGCATTGTGGAAAACCTTGGAGGAGGCCTTTGTCCAGCAGTGGACGTCATTTGGCTGAAACGAACGAATATGATCCTTAACGTGAGATTATGGTGACTAGTTTTGGAGTATTTAAAAACATTACATTGAAGTAGATAACATACTAATATCAGTCTTTCGGCTGAAACGACGACGACGACATTGAAGTAGATAACATACTAATATCAACACACGATATTGATAGTGCCTTTTGAGAGAAAATAAAAAAAAAGTAAATAAAGTTCAAATTAAGCGAATACTACAGTCGAATTGACCCCACCAACAAAATCCAGCTCTAAACTTAATAGTTTGGGATGAAGGTAATACAAAATTCTAGTCGTACTCGTATTAAATTTCCAGACCCTCCATTCCGCTCTAGTGCTCATTTAACAAAACACCGAAAACACAAATTAAGCAAAACAGCTCAGATGTTCGAATCGCCACACTAATTCCACGGGCGACCCAAAAAGTTTCCACTCTTGCCTACAAATAGCAGTGTTGCCTTGAAAAATGGCAACCCCGGCCAGCCGATAATGTACGAGGCAGAACAATCCATCAGGGCGCGGGTAACCCCCTCCAACCCCCATTAGGGGTTTTGTAGATACGTTTTTACGATTTTTACGATCGCTTGCATAGTTTCGCACTGAAACATGCTTTTGAAAAATACTTTCTGGAATTTCAGATGGAATGGAATTGCTATTTTCGTAATATATTGCGAATATTTTAAAAATATTCTGCTTTATTAAATTTTAATGTACTTCTCATCACTGGCCCACAGGTTTATTAATATTACAAAGATGTTATTATGTAAAAGAGCTTTCTAAAAGCCAACTTGTCGAGAGTAATAAATTAGTGCATTTTATGAAAATGCTATTTCACGCTACAATTTTTAATAAAAGATAAATTAATGTTGAAATGTGCTTCATTCTAATTGGCAATGCTCAATAGCGTTGGACAGCCACAAATGTTGTTGTGAGATTTTTACAAATACATTCTGTCTGGTTAATACCTACCGTAAAGATATTATTATTTAGGAGAAAAACGTTAAAAGAACAGTTTAGAAATAAGAGACTAGTCTTACACTTGAATAAAACGATCCCATTGTTATTCATACTATTCATTCCTTTTTAATAAAGAACAAATTGTAAGACAGTTAAAAACGAAACCTTTCCTTTTGCAGATCTCAATTTCAAGAACATGGACGAGAAATGTCGACTGAGTCGGAAATGAAACAGAAAACTAGGAAGAAAATTGTAAAACTTTGGCGCGGCGAGACGACGTTATAGCCGGGCACCTTCTTAAAGCCATGTGAAGTGAAGGGGTCCCAAAGAAACTGTCATATCCAAAAGGCATATCGTGCGACAATCTGACTAAAGACATATCTTTTTATTTATGCTAGTCACCTTTTTGTGATAGTTAAAAAAATTGCTCAAATTGAACTCTAAGCTAAAAAAAGAGATGTTGAGATTGTAACTGACGATATTGAGAAAGTTGTAAACGAAGTTGAAGATAATGAAATTCACGATGGTTTTCTTAAGACGGAGGACGTTGATTTTGAAGGCCGTGCTGGTGTTGACGGCGGTGTGGTTCATGGTTGCTTTGTTGACCACAAATGGTGGGACACGGAACGCTATTGGCGCTCCGCCGATTGAGTACGAAGATCCGGAGGCGAAGCCGTTAAAGATGGCAAAGCCGACGTCTACGAAACGAAAGAGCGAATCGTATGGCAACAATCTGTCTGACGGTAAGTCACTACGAGTAACACAAAACGCTTGGGTGGTGTTTTAGCGGTTGCTTTGTTTCTTTTTACGTAACCTTTTAGCACTAACTTTTTAAAGGACAGGCAAAAGAAATGTACATAATTATTTAGGTATATAAAATTCTTGCAGAACATTTAATTCACTTTCCTTTATTTGAGCAAATATATTTTTTTTTCTTTTAGTATCCCTTATATTTTTGACTAATTTACTGCAAAGTTTTTTTGCAATACTTTGTTTTAGTGCCTCTTAAATACCTTTACGTAACGTTTCTCTTTCTCTGCATGCGTAACACTTTTTTATTTGTTGCTTTTTACTAGATACTATGCATGATAATGTACGTTTGTCCATCACAGAACATCGTGCTGTCAATTGGATCGATCGGATATCTGGTTTTGAAGGTAATTTTGAAAACCATTTAGTAAAGAAAGCAAAAAAATACATCTAATTTGAAAAACATAACGTCACACTTTTGTCAAAGAACGTGTTTCATGATAATATTCAATTTCAAACGTGCCCTGATTTCAAAAGCAAATGTGCTCATTATTAAGAACAACTTTTTGCCAGTATTTTTTTTCAAATCTTTCGTCCATTCATAAGAATAAGAATAAGAAATTTATTCATAATGTTCATTACATGTCAAATTTTCAATATATTTTCTTATTAATAATAAACAATTGCATATAACGTTATACCTCGATGAAAACAATAGTCTTATAAATTATTTTACTATTACTACGTTTTATAGTTTTAATAAAAAATGAATTTGTTTTTATTATCTGTGAGGAAAAAGTAAATGTGCCATTTTATTATGGGTGTCTGTAATTAATAGTGATTTTATGTGCTTTTTATTTTTTTTAAATGTCGGATGTGTAGCCTCACTTTTTGCGATTCAACCGCAGATGTTCCATGGTGTCGGTGTATGTACATAACCTTTAGTTTAAAAACTGGAAATGGCTATTGGATCGTTTGGCTTAATGGTTATGGTGTCTGATTATGTCAATTACTTGTACAGATGATACCATTTTTTGTAATGAAATATCTGTAAACCAGTATCTACTTGAAGAAGATTACGTCTTTTTGTAATGTGTGTACCATGTTTGTTGTGTTTAATAAATACAATAAAAATAAAACGTTACAGTAGTTGGATATTATAAACTTAGAAGATTTTGTCTTATTGTTAGATGTCTTCGAGAATTATTTTGAAGCATAACACAATGGAACCCAATTTAATACAATCTTAATCTATAAAATTAGAAATTACTTTATCCAGCTTAACCGAGAACAAATTGCGAGTATTCAAATCTGTTGCTTATTTTATTACCGTTTGATGGTTCTAAAGAAATAAGATAACATTATAATATACAACCTGAATTTATTTGCCTCTGGGCTCAAGCTCGGATCAGGTACCCCAGCAATCATTCCCACGCTCGCCTTCTAAAGGATGTCACAATACTAATAGCTAATATCCTGCAGGCCTAGGTGTACTAGCTGCCCCTGGCTCGGACAATGCTCCCGGCGAACTCGGCAAACCGGTCGTGCTACCCAAGAATATAAGCGAGGATACGAAGACAGCCGTCTCTGAGGGATGGAAAAAGAACGCTTTCAATCAGTATGTCAGCGACCTCATATCGATCCGGAGGAAACTGCCCGACCCCAGGGACGAGTGGTAAGGAAATGAAATGATAAATATAATGATACATTAGGTCCGGGAAATTGGGAAAAATCCCCGACGGATTTTAGTCTGATTTGATCCGTAGTAACGGAGATTAAGGGCGAGTCGGAGTAGTGAAATTATGTCGATCGTATCTCACGCACAACTAGTAAATAATAATAAAGGTTTGACGAGATTTTTTTAAAGGTTCGGGCATAAAAAAGATGAAAATATCACTAAATTAAAAAGCTTTGAAACATCTTATTTTAAAATGGTTGAAACCAACAAATGAAAAGTAATTTATCGATTTACTTGATTAGAGGTTTTTAATACAAATCCCTGTGACAGCTTGACAAATCTTAAGTGGGTATTTATTTAAAGTTTAAAAATATTTTGTCAAACTGGCTGTTATTCTTTATTAATACTTCTCCAGAACTACTCTTGGCAATATTTTCTCCTTCTTATTAATTTTTCTGTTCGCAGGTGTAAACTCCCGGGTCGATATCTAAGCAACCTTCCGCAGACGTCTGTGGTGATCTGTTTCCACAATGAAGCGTGGTCTGTACTGCTCAGGACGGTGCACTCCGTTTTGGACAGGTCACCTGCTCATCTGATAAAGGAAATCATCCTCGTCGATGACTTTTCTGATATGCGTAAGTGCCTAATACCTTTTAAGCTAGCGAATTAAATGTTATAGTTAGTTCGTGATACCCAAAGTAGCCAAAAAGTTCAAAACACGTCTTTGTTATAATTGGAATATGGTTGTATTAAGAACTCTTTGGCCAATGTGGGTGACACGAACTGTTTGTCACTGACTGTACTAGAATTAGCATTCTCTAAGGCTGGGTTACACCATCTTATTTTAACTATGACAAACGTCAACAATCTGTCAAACTCCATACAAAAAAACACCGGTTATCGTTAAAGTAACGGTCAAAGTTAGGTGGTGCAACTCAGCCTTAGGTTATAATTGCTTATAACAATAAACTGCAAACTTGCATGCAGTTTGTGTTACGTTTATAAGTTGACAGGTCGTATCCTTTCGCCATTAGGGTTGCAATTTGTGATTAAAAATGTAGTCGTTAAACGTGAAAGAAATTGTGCGGGAATGGTGTTGTGAGGCAGTCCTCCCATTGTTTGTTTTAATTATCGTAAAAGATTTGCCTGTGTGGGTTATTTGCGCCACCGATGGCCGACAATAAAATTATATAAATAATTACCTATATTTTTAACTAAAGCTTCCTTTATGAAAATAAAAATTGCGTTTCTTTTGGGCAAGTTCACTTTTTCATAGTTCAATCATATTTCTATACATTATAATAAACTCACTTTGTGTAAAAAAAAACTTTTATGTTTATTTTATCTAAAAAACGTTGTAGTGAAAATTATGTAAAAAAAATCACTTAAAAACATTTTTCCTTTTCTATCCTTCATAAAAATGCAAGCGTAACAGTATCTTTATATTACGTTTAGCTAAAGTGAACAGTTCCCACGAGAGCTTTATTGTACTGGTTTAACTCGACGTTACGTTAGCCTCATTCAGACACGTAAATTTTCTTATCTAGAAATAATTTCATATTTCTAACAGCGTATAATTTCTTCCAGCACATCTGATGCAGCAATTAGATGATTACATGTCCTCGCTGCCGAAAGTTAGGATAGTGAGGGCGGCGCGGCGGGAAGGACTCATTAGAGCTAGATTGCTCGGGGCACGATACGTTACCGCTCCTGTTCTAACGTATCTAGATAGCCACTGCGAGTGCACAGAGGGTAAGCACAATACTGTACAGCTAACGCTAAATCAGCGAAGTAAATTGCCCCTTAGGGTTGTGATCATAAAGGTCACAAGCTTATGAACAAAGGAGTTTACCGATTTGAAGTCTGCTGGAAACTTCGTGTGTTGCAATTTGGGCTGGGTATCGTAATTTATGATAGTGCCGGTAGCTGTTCAACAACCTATGATAAACATTAATGATCCTTATGATAAAATACTAAATATTTCGTTCAAATTCCAGGTTGGCTTGAACCGCTGCTGGACAGAATTGCACGAAACAAAACAACAGTGGTTTGCCCCGTCATCGATGTGATCGATGATAACACATTAGAGTATCATTATAGAGACTCATCATCAGTCAATGTAGGTGGGTTTGACTGGAACCTGCAGTTCAATTGGCACCCCGTACCATCAAGAGAGCGAGCGAGACACCAACATACGGCAGAGCCGGTCTGGTCTCCGACTATGGCTGGTGGTCTCTTCGCCATAGACAAGGAGTTCTTTGAGAAGCTGGGAACGTATGACAGTGGCTTCGATATCTGGGGTGGGGAGAATCTAGAACTTTCCTTCAAGACGTGGATGTGCGGTGGAACGCTTGAAATTGTTCCGTGTTCGCACGTCGGTCATATCTTCAGGAAGCGTTCGCCCTACAAGTGGCGAACTGGTGTGAATGTATTGAAGAAGAATTCCGTGCGGTTAGCTGAGGTAAACAAATTTCATTTCAGTTACTTTAGTATTGTTTGATACAGAAATTACATTATTTTATTGTGTTCTAGGTTTGGCTGGATGACTACGCAAAGTATTACTATCAGCGTGTAGGTAATGACAAAGGAAACTATGGAGACGTAAGTGGCAGGAAGGCGCTGAGGGAGAAGCTTGGTTGCAAATCTTTTGAATGGTACTTGAAGAATATCTATCCTGAACTCTTCATTCCTGGAGAATCAGTCGCTCATGGCGAGGTATGTTTAATACTTAATTACTCACAAATGTTTTTCATCAATATTAAACAAAGATTTTTTACAAGTTTAATTTTTAATGATTTGGACAAATTATTGTATGCTGATGAGTGCAAAAATATTTACATGTCCTTCAAAATTATTACCTGTACAGATCCGAAATGTCGCCTTCCAAAAGATATGTTTGGACTCCCCGACGCGCAAGTCGGATCATCATAAACCCGTCGGCCTTTACCCGTGTCACCGACAAGGAGGAAATCAGGTCTTCTGTCGTTTTCAATACGACCTAACGCGGCAGTACCACTTTGTTCGAGTTTATATTTTCGTTTTTTTATTCAGTCACTTTTATGCACTCTTCCGAAGCACTATCCATGCACGGATTTTTCACAGCACATGCACGGAATGTTCTCATATTATATGACCCGTAATAGGTACGAAATGAAGCATTCCGATCTCGATTCTGCCTCGATGGGGAGTCTGAAGAGAATTCTGGAGAAGCAGTACCGTTGATGATTCATAAATGTCACCATGGTGGTGGCAGACAGGTACCTCAGAAAGGGGGAACATTGTTTGGCAAAAAAATAGAACTGGTACTAAAATTGTGTGATGAACACCACATAACTTATTCTATTATGAGGAATAAGTGATTTGTTTTCGATTTTGTTTATGTTTGTTTTCATTTCCATTATCACAAGTAGCATGATCACTTGAAGTCAGTCCTTATGAGGAATCTTAAAGTTATAAGTCCATATCTGAAATTATATTTTAAGCTATGATGGTAAATCAATCACGTTCACAAAAGCCCCGTTTATCAAGTGATGATGTTAAACAAGCACGCTTGCTTTTGGCACGCCTATTTAACTTATGGATGGCATCAGATCGCGAACCCATGGTCGGATATGTGCATCGACTCCGCGGCCGGCCCCGAAGACATGAAGAAGTCAGTCAACGTTTGGCCTTGCCACGGGGAGTACGGAAACCAGGTTTGTCAAGGCAGCCAATTACTGTCCACACATGCTTTCGCTTACATCTTGTAGTGGTTGTTGGTGCTCATCGATTTGTGATAAGGTTTGTGGGTATTACTGGTCAAAATCGTTTCGTCAAATTTCTTATCGTTTTCCTTGCCAACTAATTCTCATACGTCATTTTTAACATGTGGGATTCAGTTATAAATGCAATACTAAATGAAAAGCGTGTGATTTATAGACGAAACGATTTGCCTCATAATAACAATATTAAAATGCATAGTTCTACTTAGCAAGTACTAATACGCAAAACATTTCCGTGTCGTACATTTCATTCAGCATTCGACACGCATCTGTTTTGCATGTTCCATTTAACTATTATTAATGCATAAAATACTATAACATTATTATAACGAATACCATTACTGATTCATTGTTATGCAATAAACTTCCTCGTGTGTTTAAACTTCACGTAAATTCAGAAGGTTTTTGAGTTTTGGCATATTATACTCTTCCAATTTGGTACTGCCGCAAGGAATTAGATATAGTATAACATATTTTTTATTATACTAACATGTATAGTATAGTCATTGTTTGTTATTTTAATTTGTAGTTACGTAAACTGTGTGAGTTTGAGGGTATGGTTTTGGGTGAACTTTTAGGTTCATGATTTAGAATCCAGATTTTAGAAATATTTTTTTAAGAAATTATTTGAAGTTATCTGTAGATAAAACAAAATTGAAGGTTTCCATGGGTATTATTAGCGACAAAGTATCCTCTTAAGCCGAAATCGATAAGGCTTCATATACACGTACGGTACTTAACATCGTCCGGGGGCGTAAGATGTAAAGAACAAAGCAGACTTTAAGCACATTCGGCAATGTGACACCCTTATTCATCCCTTTATACTTATATCGTTGATTTAGTATTGTTATATTTATATAGGTAATTCAAATACTTAATGACATAAAATTTGAATAATGTCTGTAAATTATATTACCCGTAAATAATAGAATGAAGCATTTATTAACAAAAAAAAATGCTTTCTTACAAAAATTTTCACTCAAAATAATTAAAAATAGTTAAATCTAAAATAACAAAATTATAAGTATTCTGATCAGTTGCACAAAAAAACACGGCGGTAAAATAATTTTACAGTGGAGGAAAAGCTTCTGAGTCATTTCATAATATCTATGCTACCTCTGGCTTACCTTTCATCATGCAATAATAATAATGGTTGTCATCAGGTTGCCAAGTATGCTTAAAATCTTAAGTTCACCCATTTTATTAGGTTACTTTTGTTGGAAAGTTTTAAGATATTACGCTTTGAAAATATCCTCGCTGTTTCATCCACAGTCTATCAGACACATGGCTGTGGATTTGACAGCTCCAATACTTTCTTGGCGTGGTACTAATTTTGTCAATTTGTGCCAAATGTTTGAACATATCTTTCGTGTTTTCCAGTACTGGATGTATTCCAAGAATGGTGAGATCAGGCGTGACGAAACGTGTCTGGATTATTCTGGACATGATGTGGTCCTGTACCCTTGCCACGGCGCCAAAGGCAACCAGCTGTGGTTGTATGACCCTATTGTAAGTTTTATTTACTTCTGTATAATGTTTATGTTTAAGATAGATCTAACCACTTGGTTAAATTGAAGCATGCTCTCTATAGGATATAACATCGTGGACTGAATACGATTTTAATATGTCCCTCATAACTTACGAGTAGTGACATTCTTGTCTTGTTGCCAATAGGACAGGACCTTATTGATATGCCTCAGCTGTCCGTCTGTTTGTATTTTGTTAAGCTACAAACTTGTTACATTATTCGAATAGAATAAACAATACAGTGCCCGCAATATTCTAAAATCATTAACTATTCCATTCTCTCAATACTAAGAGCCTATATTTAGGCCTATGCTTCTTGGAAGATTTTAAAATATGAACTTCGATTTTCCAGACGAAGCTCCTGAAGCACGGCTCCAGCGAGAAGTGCATGGCGATATCCCCCAATAAGGACAAAGTGGTGATGGAGACGTGCAACGAGTCCGAAACCCGTCAGATGTGGAACATGGAGAACTTCAACCCTGACAGACTGACCCCAGAGCTAACGGCCGAGTAGCCGGAGGCCTACGATGAGGTCCTCTTCATATAATACGAGAGAAAGACTCATTTGAAATTACCAAACTCGAAGTGAAGTGAAGTGACTTGTGAGTTTCTACAAATATTTTTTTCGGATAAAACGTCTTTGTGCTGATGTGGTGACGACGCGTTTCACTGCGCTGGTACGTAGGGTAAACGGTAGTGGGAGTTTTGTAAATGTTGATGCTCCCACAGTTTTGAAATTTTTTGTAGAGTTAAATGAAATCAAGAAAAAAATCAGGCTTTTAAAAAGTATAGTTGTGACCACTATTTACCACCTGTGTGTAAGACGCTTTACAAGAGGCCATGTATGTAATAAGGTTGTTACTGAAGATTGAAACTTAGTTGATGAAGGTAATTTTAAAATGCTTGTGTGTGTAGATATAAATGGGGGTAGCTGAAAACTTATTGAATCACTTAATGACCCCACTATGGGCCTAAGTTTCAGAACTGATTTTGATGATAATAGAAAAACCCAATAGTTCGACTTGCCTGTATAAGTTCAATGAAGTAGGACTGTATATTATTTTTGAAATAGTTTTAGCTTCACTTGAAATCTATAGTTTTAAATTGTATTTTGTTTTATTTCATTTGAGAATTATATACCTTGTTTTCATTTGGTATTTTTAAAGTAGCTCAAACAAATAAATTTAATTTTAAATTGTATTGTATACCTAGTTATTTTTTAGTCTTAAAAATTTAAAATTAAATTTTATTGAAATTGACATGACGAATTTAAAATTTATTGTTTTGTTTTGTTTCATTTGTCTAAGATTTTATTTTTATAGCGTTTATGCAAGGTTCTAAAATAATAATCATATCTTTGTTGTATATTTTAACGTATGTTTATGAGAAAAAGTTTAGGAAACATCACGTAATAGTATTTTTGTGAAGTATTAAACACTTGTTTACTATTATTAAATACTTCCCCTTGTACATATCCAATCGTATTAAAATACATATTTGTCAGTAAATCTTTTATAATATCATATTTATTACAGCTAATATTAATAATGCGGATAAAGACTAGCTTTTACACAATTATTGTGATTTATTTAAATTAGGTGATAAAATAGTCATTCGGACATAGTTGTTAGAAAATTAAACTAGTTAAATGTATGTACATTTATAAATAGATAGTGATAAAAATTTTAGAAATCTGTTCGTTATGGAAAACCTATTGAACATATTTTTTATATGACACACAGAATTACATGTGGGATAGTTTGTTTATTTTCATTTCACACATAAAATGGAATTTACGAAACTGTAAAATTTTAAGTTAAATTTCTGGTAGTTTCTTCCAAATGTGACAAAGTTTTCTGTATAAGTTCACACGTAAACATCAAAATCTAAAATTAATTAATCTTACATCACGGTTTTCTAAAACCAATTTACTATAAATAAATATGTAAGTAAATATAGAATTGAGTACCTACCAGTACCAGCATGTTCACTTAAAACATTCCAATGTGTGATCTAATTTAAATATAAAATGTATCATAGATTTAAAAGTAACTATTTTGATGAACTTGATAAAATCAATCTTCCATTTTTAATAAGTTTAAAACCAAATTGTATGAATACTGTAAACTACAATTCATGCTTTGTTACATATCAACTTTACTATCATATCACACACGAAACATATTATTCAACAATACATATTATTCGAAACAATATCAAATGAAAATGTTGACATGTCATGAGTAAATATTTTACAATTTTTTCTGGGTTAAAGAAGAACGGTCACGCCCCATACAAAAAAAACCCAGACCCGACAGAAACGAGACATACCGCAGTTTTTTTGTCATGTCTGAATTAGTTAAATTATATATTTTTTATATTCGAAATCTATGTATAACACCAAAATATTACCCTTTGATTTTGTTCAGGCGTTATACAAAAACTAATACAAAATGCCTATTTATCACCAAAATTGGTAAATGTATGTACCTAAATGTCTATTACAGCTGCTATGGAATGTATTTAGGTGACCTGGAGATACAGCCGGATTATACAGGGTGGAAACGATAAGTGATCTCACTCGATTATTTCTAAACTATAAAAGATATCGAAAAACTAGTTACTGATTCTGAAAGTGATTCACGAGCTCTTTCAAATGGTACCAATAATAGGGTACAGATTATGGAAGCTGGTAACATTGAATTTTTGGATTTTGTAACTTATTATTGTTTCCACCCTGTATAATCCGGGTGTATCTCCAGGTCACCTAGATACATTCCATAGCAGCTGTAATAGACATTTAGGTACATACATTTACCAATTTTGGTGATAAATAGGCATTTTGTATTAGTTTTTGTATGACGCCTGAACAAAAACAAAGGGTAATATTTTGGTGTTATACATAGATTTCGAAATTAAAAATATATAATTTAACTAATTAAGACATGACAAAAAAACTGAGGTATGTCTCGTTTCTGTCGGGCCTGGGTCACAGATGACCGTTCTTCTTTGTTTGTAAGTTCCATCTTCTTTACACATCATAAAATAACTGCCAGATAGTCTTCCTAGAAATTCTTCTACTTTAAAAATAAATAGTACAAAATAATTCTGTATAGAAACATCTCCATTCTGCACTGTTTTTTCAAGATATACTTCTATTTTACTGTCATCCGTCAAAAAATCTAACTGTTATAGCATGTATGTATAATACTGTGTTAAAGAGGTATATTTGATATTATTGATGTTTTAATATAATATTTTTAACTCAATCATAAACCCAATAACAAAACGTTAACCTATTGAAATAAATCTGAAAAAAGTAAGAAGCAGTTGATTCATTACTTTTGTCTTAATCCAAGTATTTAGTAATAAGTGCTCTTAAGTTCCTTGGGTTAATGAAATATCCTTGCATTTCATGTAAATACTGATGTTCATGTTTCAAATATTGTTAGTTAATCTTAAAAATTACTGTAACAATAGGGGTCTTTGTATTAATGGCTACAAAATGACGGAGCTGATTCATGATGATACTTTTTATTACGACGATTAGCCCAAAATCTAAATGCTCAAGGGTTAAAAGGAAACAAGCACGTATAGAAATACAGCAAAAAGTTTATTTTACAAAATTGTGAATTAGCCTCCATCAATCCTTGTATTCGTAAACTAAATGAAGTCGGTTAAAATAGTATTAAAACTTGTATAGAATCGTAGTTCTTATTGTGTCGAGGTAGGACGTTTAAATGTGCCTTATATCATTACGTAGGTAATTATTATATATTTGAATGTTGAAAATTTCTGTATATAAAGCGGTGTCTCCATTGTATTATAAATAGTATGATAGCGAAATGTTAGACGGCGATAAAGTATAGTATTTGTAAAATAAAGCATTATGTTGGATTTGTACGATGGTTATTTTGTTTATCCTATAATAATACTATTATGGCTAAGTTGCACCAACTAACATTAACCGTAAGTTTAACAATAACCGGTGTTTTTTGTATGGAGTTTGACAAAATTTTTGACGTTTGTTAAATTTAAAGTAAGACGGTGCACTTCAGCTATAAGAGTATCATTTATCGTCTTGATTAAAATTACATTTTGAATCATATTTACACTTGTTTCAACACTTGTTTCATCAACTTTAAACAGCATGTAAAAGACAGGTATAAAAAACCTTCCAAAAATATGGTTTAGTATGTTGCTATCAACTCTATAGTAGGAAAAGTTTGACCGGCGAAAAGAGCTATAAAAAAGAAAGGTGTCAATCTGCCCTAAATCCCTCTTGATAGAGCCAAATGGCTATTTCAGATATCCCACTACACAGGGGTCAACTAAGCATTTTTTCTCATATCAGTACTTGGCCAATCCATCCATCTCACTCGCTCTAGCCAGCTTCCATACGAGTAAAAAAGGACGAGTATACTGACATCGCTTGCAACGTACGGCTTTTCAGTGCCGGACGTAACAAAAAGTAGGAGCTAGCGTCCACCGGAGTAGGGCGACATGCATGATTGGCAACTTTGCAAGCTTGGAAAGTCTGCACCGGTAAGTTCTTTTATTTTCAGGGATAACAGAACAGAGATATAATATAAGAAATAATGTAAGAAATAACGAGCAAAGGAAAAAACAGCTATAAAGCTTATGTTTTCGTCTCATAAAATCAATGCTTTAATAGTACACATTCATGACCTCAAAAGGACCTATTGTTGATCTAAAATAGAATCTCACGTCAAGTGCACTAAAATTGAGCACCTACATTATTAGTAGGTAGTAACACTTCGAAATGCAGTCGTTACATTTTACGATATTTGCCATTTTTTGCGAGTAGTTACAATTTATTCCGAGTAAAAACTACACCGGTCCTGTAGGTACAATTACTCAACGTATTACCGCAATGAGAGTGTTTGTGATGACTGTGTTTTGTGTTCAGAACAATATTGTTAATATAATTTGTTTCCACTGTGTTCATTATGTGACAAATGTGTGTTCGAGAAAGACTTTCCAACATCCAGCACACAATCGAGAGATCTTTGGTATGTAATTCGCTAACTTTATCGTTAACTTCTCGAAATATCGAATACTTTAGCGAAGTTCCCATCTCCCATTCCACGCAGGCAATGATCGAGTCCATATCTTGAAGTTTTCAATCGCCACTGATTCCATTTTATTCACCAGACCGTGACTGGAATTAAGCTATGCTGAGAGATTTTATTTCATGCGATTTGACAGATTTAGATTTTCATGTCTGCTTTTTACGATTGCTTGAGTTTCGATTGCTCAGCGCAAAGATTTTGAGTCAGAGGATTGGGAGATAAGGGTTTTAGAAGTGTGTGACTTTCATGTGCAAATCGTGTGATTTTTTTTGGACATAGTGTAAGTAAATACTTGTCGCTTTTTTGCACTGACTGAATACAATTATTAGATAGCAATTTGATTACCCACCACGAGGAAGCTCTTAGCGTCTTAGCCTGCGTCTCTCCTGATAGAAAGTTATGATTAGGCCAACGGTGGAAACGAGATTTACCTGGAATCGTCAACTACAGAGGAACTGACTATCGTACCATCATTTTTACTTATCCTACTCATATTAGGCAGGTACCTAATCATTGTTTAGTGTTTACTATTCCTAATTTATTTTAATGACAGACATGACTCAACATGTTTCCTTCTTCTTTCTGTAGTACTGAAACTGTAAAAGCCTGTCTGTTTTCTATGCATTTTATATACTCTCCGAAACAACTGCGCAATGAACTTTTGCCCACATTTTCTCTGCAAAAAGTCGACTGCTTCAACAATAGTTTCATGTAGGTCGGAAACTTGGACTAGCTACGAGTATTTTGAAAATTTTATCCTAATATAAAGATTTTATCAGTTGCATAATATTCTCAAGACTTCTCTATGCAGACTACTATTCTAAGAAATTATTAAGATATTTAGCAATTATTGGACGCAGAGGTCCCGGGTTCGATTCCCAGTGGGGGCAGAATTTTCTGTTCGGTTTGGTTGGTGGTAGGGCTTGTTCTAAGTCCGCCTGGCTAGCTACCACCATCTTACCTAAGTCTGTCGCCATAACAACAATGTTAACAGCATTGTTGTGTTCCGGCAGTTAGAGGTAAGATAGCCAGTTCCTCCGTGGTTGAGGATTCCGGGTGAAGCTCGCTTCCATCTTCGGCCTGATCATCACTTACCATCAGGTGAGATACAAGCCAAGAGCTTCCTCGTTGTGGATAAAAAAAAAAAAAAAAAAAAACATCAACGCTGGACTTTCAACCAAATTATGATTTGAAGAACTAAGACCCGTTAAAAAGATACCTGTTAGAAGATTTGAGGTGGTTCCTCAAATATATTTTCCCAACCAATCGACACAATCAATATTCAGATGACAAAAGCAAAATAAGAATATCCCCAAAGGGTGAAAATTCACAAATTAATCGAATTGGAATAACCGTAAAAGCTTACGTCGTGCCAACAGGCAGAAGTGGAAAAAGTGTGTGAGCGGAGTTTTAAAACCAATTAACGGTAATGCGATAGGGATGCCAGTTTAAAATCGTAGTTTTAGTAGTTTTCGAGAGATATTTATAATTTCGAATTTATTTAATTATTGCGACAAAACTAAAATGTGGTTTTAACAAGAGCGTTGCGTGCCACGCGCAGTGTAGAATTCAGAAGCAAGCAATTACTTCATCTAAAGTCACTTTTAAATATTTTCTTTTAATTTATTTTTATCAGGTAGAATTTTTATAATACATGAGTTAAACGACAATTACTCTTAAACTAACTTATCTATCTTAACCGTTATAGTTTTCCTTGAAAGTTCACGAAAAGCAGTATTATTATGATTTTTTCCAGATTTTTCAAGCCAACAGTGTTTGGTTTTTAGAGGGGGGGAGACGCCCTACTCGAATAAAAATTGACACTTTAAACTTTAAATCGAATAATTTCCAAATTTTATTCCACCACTTTGTCGGCGTGATTAATATAGGTACATACCTACTTACCTCCACAAAATTACAGCTCTAGTGCCAATAGTTTCCAAGCAAAATCTTGGACGGACAGA